GATGATAGTTACTCATCTACGTATTACAATAACAATACCTACAGATCGACCAACATAGCTTTGCCTCTGAGATGCGCAAACGATAAACAGAGAGGGTTAGTGTGCGATAAAGACCGACTTCGACCTTTCACCGGGACATTAATGACCTCTCGCCCCCTCCGCCGACCAGTCTACTACGCATCCAATTCTCAGAGGCAAAGCTATAGCTTTGTCCCAACATCTCACAAAACCGTAATATTACGGTCATCGTCATGCGCAGTAAATAAAAACCGTTCGACTTTGGGCTTTATTGATAGGTTTTTATTTACTGCGCATGACGATGACCGTAATATTACGGTTTTGTGAGATGTTGGGACAAAGCTTATGTTGGTCGATCTGTACATGACTTGGCTTTGACATAAAACCCTGTATAGTAAAACTTCTAATCCGAATCAAAATCTTGAAACTATTATTTGGGGATTTAAAAGCGTGGTCCACTAGTTGGTGTAGCCTTTTAAAACATTTGGTGTAATAATAATTATATACCTATCATCAATTACCACTGCCACTGGTAAAATCCTAAATTTAAAATAGTGTAATATAATAATAAGACATTAATCATATCTTAAATGGATCGCCTACTATCATGTTTTAGAAATAAATAAAATGTAATTCTTAAATTAATAAAAATATTCAAAATAATTTAAGATTCCTTGCGTTATGTTAATAAACATTAAACAAAATTTCTCACGAATTATTTAATATTCTGTCTCGTACTTCCATGTCTCTATTGCTTCGCTGTCAACAAGTTCTGGCAAGACATATTGCATATAAAAAAAATTAATTTTATTTTGTATCTTTTCTTCTCAAAAGCTGTCAATATGAGATATTTTCTCCACTTCTATTCCTCCAGAAGTCCAAAAGCACAAAATGCAAAAATCCATTTGTGTTATGTGCAGCTAGCCCTGAATTTGAAAATACCAATAGTGGTTCTCCTTAATGGAATTGTTCTTTTTTCAAAAAGTTATTTCTCTACTGCATATTTCTTCTGCTACAGTCCGCACTTCAGCCCCATATGGACATTTTAACTCTATCATAGAGTTTTGTTTTTTTTTTAATTCCATCCAGACTGGCAGCAACATAATCAAATTCGAATTCAATAAAATGTCCACATTTAAAAACTTTTACTTGCAAATAAATTTCCAAATCTTATTTTGTTTTGAATTTATGGTCCATGCCATATCGGGTGGCTTTAGAAATAAATAAAAGATTTTACGAGATTTTTTACAAATTTCTCCAAATTTTAAAGCATTGACTCGTTTCCGTCTTCTATTGTGCCACAATGTACAATCAGCTTGTCACAATCGTTTTTCTCATTTATAGACATTGGCTAACTTTTTAGAAAATGTTCTCTTGCAACGCGCCTCAAAGGGTGCGACAAATCAAAGCCATGCGCGAAAGCAAGAAAAAATATTTACATTACTTTAACGGATTGAAAAGATATTAACATGCTGGAATTAATAATTATTGTTAACTCGAAGAAGTATTCATTAAACAAAAACATATAATTCACATATCAGTGTATACCTTCCAATTTCGTATATATATTTTTTTTTAATAAATAAATGATAAAATTAATTTAATATAATTGAGCGAAATTACTGTATGTAAAAAATAACAACATGAATTCAAATCACTCACTAAATAGAAAAAGATATATATTTTGTTGGTAACACCTTCTAGATGAAAAAGCTTTTAACGTATTTCTATTTTTATTGTAATAAAAATAAATGCTCCTGTAGGAAAAAATTAAATATATTGTTCTCTTCTAGCATTTTTTAACATTTCTATTTCTTTTCGTTCCTTTTCTTAGATTTTTTCAAAAGAGACTGATTCATATTTTGAAAGTAAATCCAGAGAGGTGTGGGTTAAGCCTTTACCTGTACTTACATAAAATTTCTTTTAGTAAAATTAAAAAATAATCCGTAAAATTGGTGTACTATGAAACCCTTGCATATAATATATATTCCAATCTTAGTATTACAGAAATAAATTACGTAAAAAATAAGGTGTACAAATACGTAAAATTTATTCATCCCTCGTAAAACATCAATAAAATATATTATAAATTGTTTTCATTCACAAATATTAATTTCTTAAAAATCTAAGAGAGGCGCCACTTTCCAGACGAAAAATCTTGCAATGTAAGGGTTTCGTAGTACCCCACTTTTAAAGTTTATTTTTTACTATTTTTAAAATAAAAAAATATGTGTGTGTAGGTAAAGGTTAAATCTATGCTCCTCTGGAACCACTTTTTCAAAATTCAATTTAGTTTTTTCTAAAAAAAATTGAGAAAATGGGTAAAACAAGTCGAGTTTTGTGTTTTTTTTTTAGAAAAAACTGTTTCAAATTTTAAAAAAGTGTTTCCAGAGGAGCATAGATGTATCCTTTACCTACACGTACATATTTTTTTCTTTCAGAATAAGTCAAAAATAAACTTTAAAAGTGGGGTACTACGAAACCCTTGCATGCTCCGCTCTACAGCCAAGTAAATACTCCTCTTAAAGTAAAAAAAACCGACTCTACAGAAAGGAAAGTAAAAAATAGCCCTGACAGTATTTTTTTAGGCAATCGATTTGCAGTATATAAATTATTTACTACAACCAGGACTGTATTAAGAACTGTATGAATAGAAATATATTAAAATAATTACATATGATTCAAAAGGTACTACAAATTTTCTCTGGAAAAAGTAGCACACAAATTTAAATGTATGCTCCAGCTAGTCAATAAACATATGAAGATATAAATAAACACATATTTTATTTCAGAGGGATGCACCCAATTACAGAATAACAGAACGTGCAATATTGAATTATAAATGTACAATTAAAAATTAATTTAAAAAAAAACATCATTAGTTCCTTTTTAGTTGGTCTAATAATATATACAATATGTATGATGATTAAGATTGGCATTACACATTTACAAAATTTTATAAATTCACTACACCTTGTATGTACAGATGACTTGGCCAATATATTCCTCCTACAATTCACCCAGCCTCCATCTTTATTTCTCATTGGTGGTAGGCCTTTTTTTAATCGTTTGGTAGTTTTTCAGAGTGAATAATCGGTACTTTTATCGTTAGTTAAATCACTTAAGTCTTCGCCAATCGACTTATTTTTAATGCGCCGTATTTCACGTTGTAGCTGTTGCCATTTTCTTCTATTTTTTTTTTTTTTTTTTTTCGAGATAAGAGCTCTAATCTAATTACCTTGCACTCTGCTTTTAATCTCAGTATTTTACCACGCTGCTTGTTGAATATATTTTTGACAAAAATTTAACTTCTTGGTCTAATTGTTTCTCATATTTTAATAAAATCGAGTGATCAATTAGTTCTTGTAGGTTGGTTTTGAAGATTTTCCAGTATTTGCCTTTGTTGACTAGTTTACGCAAATTTTCTTTTTGATTACAGTATCACTCATCGTGAGGAGAATGATCTAAGTTCATGTCTCAAGATTCTTCTATATACATATAATTTAAGGCGATATTCTTAATTATAAAAAGATTCGTGAGATTAAGAATTTTGTTCGAATCTGTGGGCCAGTATGAAGGCTTTCCAGTTGACATTTTTTGATGGCATGATGATAATAGTTCTTTACCTTCGGTTGTTGTCAGTCTAGATTCCCAGTGAGTATGTTTTGCATTAAAGTATTCTCCCACTATGAATCTGTCTGTATCCTTGTTTATCCAGGAAGTCAACGTATTGATGCTTCTTTATAGCATGTCTTGGAGGACTATAGTATAAAGCTGTGATTATAATTTCATAAGTTTTTGTTTTAATATTAACAGATGCTTCTACTGTTTCCTAATCCATTTTTTAATAGTGTAAAATAGATTCGTTAATTATAACAGCAGTCCTTTTGCCGCGTTATCTGGATGGATTGTATGGTCACTTTATATCCTTTAAATTTAAAATTAGTGAAATGTGTCTCAGCAATCAGACAGACATCAATGTTTTCTCATTGTAGAACTGTTTGCAGTTCTTGTTGATACTGCAGCAATTCCATTTGCGTTCCATTCAAAAATTCTAAGATGATTGGCCATGTTTAGCTTTAGGGATCGCTCCTTGAGCACGATGTTCCAAATTTGAAATACGCTTATCCATCTTGTCCAGTCTATCTAAAATTCTTTGGGGCATTACATCAGTATGTTTTGTGTTTTGTTGAACTGGCTGTTGAATATATGGTTTTCTCCTGTTTCCTTCAGCTACTTGGGCTATATGTTTTGTTTTCAATATCTATTTGAGTTGTTTTTTGTCTTTATTTCTATTAATATTTGTTATCTCATTTTTATTTTTTTTTTTAATTTGGTGTCATCGGCGTCGACTACTACGGCCATTAGCCTCATTTTTATTATTAATATATTTCTTGTTATCCCGATAGGGTTGCAGAAGCAAATTTGGCTTCTTCGTTTGTTTGATTTTTATTCTTTAAAATTCTTTAGCTATAATGCATGTGCGGTAATTAGCAGGGTGACCTTCTCCACGATGGACACACTTTGGAGAAATATTTTTTGGTTTATCACACTTCATTTTATAGAAATTATTAACGTTTTTAACCCCATCTACAATTATTGGAGGTGGCTGGTGTACCTTTTTAGTTTTTTGTTGGTTATTTTTATTGATTATTTGTCAAGGAGAAATTGATGTATCCATTTGTCTCTTCTTACGGTTCTTTACCATAATCCACTCCTCTGCAGCCAATTCTTCTTTGGTGAAATATCCATCTGTTTTGTATTTATATAAATGCCAATGATTATTATTTAGCAGGATGTAATTTAAAGCTCATGTCATTCAGACATGTCACATTCTTATGCTCTGTCAAAGTTTAAAAGACCAATAAAATTTACTGAACATTGTTGCAACTGGCTGTATGACTTTTTAAATTTCTTAAATGAACTTATGTATACAATCAAAATTCATCATAATTTCTCCATTTTTTAAATCTATTTTTTAGGATAGAATTGTGCTTGTGCAGTCTGTGTGGCAAACAGTTTAAGAGACATGAATACCTTAGGAACCATATGGCTATTCATATGAATATCAAACCCTTTACTTGCAATGTTTGTGGAACAGGATTCACGCAAAGGCAAGCTCTCGCCAGGCACCATCTTGTCCATACTAAAGAGAGGCCTCATAAAGTATGTATAGAACCATATTTTTTTTTATTTAGACGATTGATTCTATTTTTTGGATGGGTATCAATACGAATAAAAAAAATGCGACCATTTTGATTTTTATTTAATTCATTTTATGTTGGTGGAAACATCTGATCATGCTTTATGTTTACTTATTTCGTATGTTAGTTCTGGTGCACAAAATCGGTGAAATTGCATGTATCAATAATTTTTACTATGCATTCAAAACAACTTTCATTAACTTGCATCTAGAAAAACTGAGTTCCTTTAACAGTAATCATTATTTTTGCATTAAAAGCTATTTGTTTAAAAAATTGTATTGTGCATTCGGTAGTAACATGTATATAAATTACTGGTATTAACTGGATTAAGCTTGTCCTGAAACCCTTATCTCTAATCCCATAATGACAGTTTTTGAATTTTTGCCTTAGTGTACATACTGTGACAAGACATTTATTCGCAAAGAAAAATTGACGGACCATGTTAGGTTCCATGAAGAAGGTGCACCTCCACATTTATGTTTCCATTGTGGAAAGCGTTTCAAAGACAGAGAGTATCTTAGGAAGCACTTACAGTACTTCTTAAGGGGTGGAAAAAATCGCTGGCGACCAGAAACAAAAAGGTAATAAAAAAAAATTCAATTTAATTTCATATGTCAAAATTAGAACAATATTTTTATATTCTTTGGTAATAATAATTTAAGAACTAAATCTAGGATAATTCACTATTTTTTTTTTTTTAACTTTGAATTGTTGTTTGTAATAACTAAATATATCTTTAAATTGTAAATAGTTTTCATAAGTAATAGATTTGTTACTTTTACCTACCTGCTTGGCTACCTAATTGGGGTTATTTAACTATGTATAAATCCCAATTTCACATCTTTACAGCACCTTGAAATTGTTTATAGTAGTAATAACAATTATTAAAACCTGTAATTTTTGCCTTCTTAAATTTGAGTATACTTTGACTCCTGGAATAATTCGCATCTCCATCTGGTGTTATGGGTTCTTTTGACGCCGCATCCAAAGGTTGTGGAGCAAATCACATTAATAAATCTTGCGCCCGAGTGTTTTCCGATTCTTATGTATCATAAGTATGTATCCTGTTTCTCTGTGGCGAAAAAACTTCTTACACTGGAGAAGAATTGTTTTATCAGACTTATCCTGCAACATTAAAAATAAAAACAGAATCTCTCCTCACTGTAATTAAATATGTTTTTATTAACAATTGTTTGTTGCAGATGTTTATGCCCGGAATGTGGCAAAGATTTCCAGTCAAAATCGTACTTGAAGCGACATATGAATTCTCACACTGGAGTGAAACCATATAGCTGCGAAATTTGTAACAAATCGTTTGCTGTCAATGCTGGACTTGAATATCACATGAAAATTCACAAGTAAGTTTAATAACTAATTAACATATAAATAAAATAAGTAATTTTTTAATTGACGATAATATCTTCACCTTTAATTCTAGACCTTAGGTTAGGAATTTCTTCAGTCTTGTTCACCAAATGTCTGTTCCAATATTTCTCGAGTCATCCTTTCGTCCTAGTTTTTGTCTTCCCCATTATGATGTGCCTATTAATTTGAATTTTGAATATTTTTCATGGTCCTGATCAAACACGTTCCCTTTTGTAATGGTTACAATGTTCTTTTATCGTACTATTTTTTTGTATTGTAACGATAGTTTAATTTATTTACAGTTTATTTATTTATTTAAAACACTTTATTTTCAATTTATTTATAACGTATTTATTAATTTATATAATACTTGGGCACTATTATAACTCACAATTCTAATTTATTTATTACAATTTGTCTTAACTGTCCAACACTTCATTTGAATCTTCTTTGGCCGTCGACAAATTCGCGCTATTTATATAAAACCAGCTCTGTACCAGCACTATAAAGGTTAAAGGGCCCAAATATTTTTACATGGGCAGTTTTAAGGGATAAATGGCCCAAATATTTTCACATAAATTGTTCAAACAATTCGCAAACCTTAAGCAAAAGGTGAACGGCGACATGAAATGGTTCTTAAAAATCAGTGCCTAGCAGAGCTTGACAGAACTAAAAATTCAACGTCTCAATACTTTTAATTGTCTTTTGATTTTTTGTCAAAAATTTAACGTTTTTTTTTATGCTACGAGTTTGCCCTTGGGGGCCTCATTCCCGATAAGGTGGGTTCACCAATTTAGCATATCTCGAATTTTATAAAAAGAACTATATTGTGTACCAAATCATCATAGTGATGCTTTATAGAACTAGTCTTGAGATTATGAGCCAAGCGAGCAAGGCAAGAAACAGGCGAGTTCGATAAAGACACTGCTGACGTGGTCCATACAAACTTTTATCGCCAACCGTAAATAATTATAATTAATACAAAAGGAGATATTATAACATCACATTTTAGTGTGACAAAGTAAATAAACAGAAAAATAACAGCGAATTCAAAATAAATCAGTTACAGACTATTGACAAATATTAGCGGCAGATAAAATATTTTATTTTTACAATGAGATAAAGTGTTTTACTTCCGTAAACTCCTATGGTAATGCATGGCTTTATTGACGGTTGGCGATCAACTTTTTTATCTAATTAAATCGAAATCATGTAAAAATAGAATTGTTTGTGTATTCTTACATACCCACATAATAGCTATTTATGAAACCAGTTACGAAATGCCTTATAATATGTAACGAGTGAATATTTGCGGGACGAGCAGAGCGAGGTCCCGCAACATGAACGAGGAGTATAAAACGGCATTTCTTAACGTGTTACATACAATATTCTTCTAATTTCGAATAGATTATTTATAAAATTGTGTTTTGGTAACAAAATCCTGACATATAGGCAACCAATATTACTACTTTCCTGTATTGTTAGTTGCATATGATTAACTTTATTCTCTTATTGACAAATAGAAAATCATAATCATTTATTATCAACGGCTTATTGTTATGTATTGCTTGTTAAAATTGTTTAGATATTTGGAAAGTGGGTTATTTTGTTCTGTATTGTTTTAATTATTTAGTGCTGATTTAGAATGGAAAGTAAGGGCCAAAACAACATTAGTACTAGGTTGTAAGTTTAACCAAATTTTATTTTTAAAAGTTAACCTGCCCTTCTTTGATATAAACTTTCAATACCAATGTATATTTTAAAACCATAAAAGGTTTGTTTACTTTTTGCAACTTCTGAAATTTCATAATGTTCAACATTATGCAATTGATTGTTGCTTGAAGTAAATAATTTTGACATTTGCTGCGATTATAAAAAATGGTCACTTTATAAGTCAAAATTAGAAGAAAATTATTTAGAGTGTTTTATACAGGGTGGGCCTCCGGTAACTCCTCTGTCTCTAGGGCCAACAATATATGATTTTTTAAAATCTATTTTCACAGCAAAATGTATATCAGAAAAGGCAACAATTTAAAAATAATTTTAATTACACAGGGTCCTCCAAGAAAGTGATACATATCAAATTTAGGTTTTCGAAATGGAACACCCTGCATTTTATTTTATATTTGAATTGTTCTCGCTTTTCCCATTATAATAATATCAACTAGTATGAGATTATACAGGGTGTTTCACATGTTAAAACCAGTTTTATATGAGAATCCTGTATAGTGCAAAAGAAACAATTAAAAACCAATTTTTTACAGTAAAAGGTTTTGGGTATTAGTCAACATTTATGCCAATACACTACTTTTTTAACTAAAAACTAATCTGTACAGAGTGAGTCAAAACTTAAATAAATTTTCTTAGTTTTTTTTTATTATTGACCATCCTGTATTTTATATCACCATTTAAAAATACTTTAATTAAAGTTTCATTTGAGTTAAGCATTCCCTATACCTAAAGTTGATAATTTTGAGAGATTTGTAAATTTAAATGAGAAAAAGATCATTCACATAATACTCTTATTTTAACTGGTGACGGGTTAATAGGAAGTATACTGTTTGTTAATTGGTAATTAGAATTTAACCAGTTATAAGTTATTATCGACTGAATAAGTTTTTGACAATACTTAACGCTACTTTTACATTCAGTAAAAAAATAAATAAAAGCAACCAAAAATTTCGCATAATACCTACTTTATTCTAAATTTATTAAGTGTTATTTTGACAGATTTTATTTAATTAGGAAAATTTCTTATAATAATGTTTATGGAAGTTATGATTCAACTCACATTTCTAAGCATTTTTTATGTAACACTCGAAATACTTTTCTTATTGACGACTAACGGTCATATTAAAAAACTGGCTAAACTTTTTTAAATGAAATATCGCAATACTAATGACGTTAGTAATAACGAACTATCAGTATTGAGGTTTCAAAGTCAACTCAAAAATATGTTAAACTTAGAATAAAGTAGGCATTAATAATTGATTGAGTCTAGAATTGGTTGGCTATTAGTATTTATTTTTAACTGAATGTTAAAGTCCTATTGGAAATTGTCAAAAACTCTCGATAATAAATACCAGCTGGTTAAATTCTAATTACTAATTAACAGTCTATTTCCTGTTAACAACTGGCTGGTTAAAATTATATTATTTTGTGAATTATTTTTTTTTTGTTATTTAAATTTAAAAATCTCCCAAAATTATTAACTTTAGTTATAGGGAATTCTCAACTCAGATGTAACTTTAATTAGGATACTTTTAAATAGTTATACGATAGTCAATTAAAAAAAAAATGAGAAAATGATGTATTCAAATACAGGGTGAGTCAAAACTCAAGTTTTGACTCGACCTGTACAGATTTTTGTATAATTATTAAAAAAAAAGGTGTGCATCGGCATACATTTAGACTATTATCGATAACCTTTTACCGCAAAAAAAATGATTTTCATTTGTTTCTTTTGCACTATACAGGATTTTTATATAAAACTGGTTGTAGCGTGTGAAATACCTGTATAATCTCATACTATTTGGTATTGTTATGATGGGAAATTCAAATTAAAAAAAAAACCTAACTTTGATATGTATAATTGGAATTTATTTTTAAATTGTTGGCTTTTCTGGTAAACATCTTTGTCTAAAAACAGATTTAAAAAGAAAACAAGTAGTTTTGGCTCCACAGACCTAGAAATTACCAGTGGCCCTCCCTGCATATTAATAGATTCTTTTTAAAATTTGTTTTTTTTTTTTTTTTTTTTTTTTTTCAGGGGTGTGAAACCTTTTAAATGTTCCGAATTGGAATGTAACAAAACATTTAGAACTAATTATGCAAAGAAAGTTCATGAAAAGATGCATGGTACCGAACGTCCTTATAAATGCGATATCTGCAACAAAGGATTTGTAAGAAATAGTCACCTAAAGAGGCATCTCAAACTTCATGAAGAAAATTCGGAATCAGTATCTGCCAATACCTGACAAAAACTGAAATAGATTTTCAAAATCAAGTAATAACAAAACTCTAAAGTCGATCCAGAATTTCTGTGAACTTATATTAATAACAAATATGTAAAAATTGTTTTTTCTACACCCGTATTATAATAATGCACTTATATGCCCAAAATCCGTTTCATAATGATACCCATTATGATACAGATTTTTCATTACGATACAGATTTTTAATCAATAGAAACCTACAATTTTTCAATCAAGCATGCTGTTTGACGTTTGTCCTAGGTTCCTATGTAATTATTTTAGTTGTCAAAACGTATTAAATTTTCGTAGGTAGCTAAACTTCGATAATTATAATATTAAAATGTCTGATATTAGCGATATAGAAGACTCCTCCACATATATCGGAGAAAGCAGAAAATACAGTACAAAATATTTTACCGCAAAAATCTAGGGAAATACCAATACCTGAAGTAATACCATTAATTACAATTTTGTAGAATTTTTTATAGAAATACGAGTAATTACTGTTATTGTGTTCAATACCAATATAAATATAATATTTATAGGTCTTGATTATTTATCGGGTGTAGAAAAAATAGCGTATGCAACTCTCATGTAATGGTTATTAAAACACTCGCATAAACCATACGAAACTCGCCTTTGGCTCGTTTCGTATCCCGGTTAATGCTCGTGTATTAATAACCATCATTACATGATCGTTGCATAATATACTATTATGAAATAAGGGGTGAAAATAAAAACAAGGACATAATGACTAAGAGAAAAGAAATCCTCAATCGACTATAGACAATTTTATTAATAGTGCATAATAAGTCTGTGACACAGAATGTAATGTAATGATACATAGTAATTAAGGTGTTGGTTTATTTATTCAGAAATAACAATTGAAATTGTAAATAATACTAGTCAAATAAATGTGTTGATAAAATAATTTGACTGCATTTTTGTACATTTATTCCAGCAAGATGTTTTAAATTAAATTGTTCAAGTATGAACAATGTAAAATATCAAAATATTATGCTTTTGTTCATCCTATATAATAATGTGTCCACTAATCAAAATCGAATAACAAATTTATCGAAAAAAAAAAGTTAATAAATAGATATACTACCAATAGCGGATCTTTCGCGTGGGAAATACTGTGCATGAAAATGGCAATATTAAAACGTCCGTAATACAGACAACGATTAACGGCCAATTTCATAATCAATTTAAAGGACACTTTAATTTTAAAGTATCTTTTAACCATATAGTTTAAATAGCTTAAAGTCTCCTTTCATTAAAGGCCACTTTAGCTATCGATTATGAAATTGGCCGTAAACACACTTGATGAGTTTGGACAAAGAAGATGCGGAAACGAAGTCATAACTATTGACATGAAAAAGATCACAGGTAAAGTACAAAGTCTAACAATACCCGTATCCCAAGTGACTTAATTGATGTTGGTTAAAAGTAGTTTTAGTAAATCTAGTAGTAACCCTAAAACAATGTCACTGACCTATTGACGACAGAACTAATACTGGCTGTTTGTCACGACACTAAATTACTGAGGCCCCTTCTATGGGGCCTCAGTATTGCATTCGTGCAGACGAAAAAATTTTCTTGTCCCTATTTTTTAAAACTTCTGATTGACTTGCGGTTTTGATTTTCTTGAATAATTACTTCTAAGTTAGAACCCTATTGATTTTCAAAACTTTCGGTTCATCCTAACTACTTTAATATTCTTTTTTTTTTTAAATACGCCTATGCATTTCTTATGTGACAATTTTAGGAATTCCAATTATTTCTAACGTCAACATTCTTAACATTCCATAAATTGCAAAAATTCGCTAACGACCTGTCAAACAACAGCTGTTGATAGTAAAGGTGAAATTTCTAAGGCAGGTTGCGACCTTCATACTTGCAACCATAGCCATTTTGGAGGGCTATTTTTATTCGAAATTAGTCGCCAAGCCTGCCAATTTATGAAAAATATATAAGCAGTTTAGTGGTCCCCTGCTTAGTGAACTACTAAATTCTTCGAATTACTGGAAACGAAATAATTTTGATAAGGTTTTATTTCCAAATATATAAAAAAAAAAACATAAATAATAAATATGGTGCAGGGGATTTTTTAGTTGATGAGTAGATGATTTGATGTAGAAAATCTGGATGTTGGTCTTCATCTAGCATAGCAACGGCGATCCTTTATATAGAGCTCCCAATCTTCTGCTTATTTAGATCTTCGAATAATCCGGTACTTACATAAAGAAAAGCATAGCTTAATCAATAACAATGACGTTATTGAAAAAGAAGAAACCAGATGGTTGTCACACTAAAAACACTGCATATAACCAAAAAATAATGATACAAAACGTTAAATATGAAAAAGCAACTGAAATGTCATAAAAATCATTTGAAAGTTTCTTAAAAATGACTTTTTTATGGTGGTGATAATTTAAGCGTACTACTATTTCGCCCCTAGCCACAAAAACACCTTCATTAAATTTACTGGATCTCTGTCGCAACCCCACAGAATAATTAATCGGCCATTTTATTTGGCAAAAATCAGAATAATGCTTGGCTGTGCCTGTCAAGTATCAAGATGTCAACTGTGATGTGTGAATGGCTCTTAAATTTCAAATTATTTAAAAATATATATGCTTCTTTTGATATTTATTGCAAATAATTTGTAGTGTATCTCAATTCAGGCTTTCCATAAATAAAGGTACAACAAGACAGATAATATAATGTTCTTATACAAAACACTTTTTTATTATATAAAAGAGGTAGGATATAATGCTGGTCTTTTGTAGATAATTTTAATTATACGATTTTGGATTACATATTCAACCAGCGAATTGTAAATAATAATTAGTAAACTTCTAGTCATAAATTTCCTCAATTCATAAAATTTAAAAATGAATCTTCTTACCTTGGGATTTTAATGACGTAATGTGATCAACCCATTTCAAATTTTGATCAATTATGATACCGAGGTATTTTGTTGTGTTTTTCATTTTAATTATAAAGTTGTCATTTATTTGTATGTTGAAAGAAGGCCTTTGTAAATTACATTGCTCTCTGTGGATCTACTTTAACACAAAAATAGTTTTGTGACTATAAGTTGCTATAACCTATCGTCGCAAAACTATTAATAATAATTTAAACATAGTAAGTAGTATTAATATAACATTAAGTAATTTTTTAAAATAAAGTACATGATCTCAAAACAAATAATTTATCCCATGGTGGAACCTCCAGCGGTCACGCATCCATGACGTGACCGGAGAGACCACTGCTTAACTGTTGCGAGTATGTGGATGCACATTAAGCTGGCAGCTAGCCTCTCCGGCTTCCGTTTGAGGTTACTTTTGAATACATTTTTTGTTGTTTTTTTTTTAATTTCTGTAGGCAGTCTATTAAATTTTTTAAACCTTTAATAAAAATTGTATTTTATGAACTTTTAGTGATGGCTTGCCGTACATGAAAGTCAGATTGGTTTCTTGTATGTTGTGATATTGCGAATTATATTGAATAGATCTGATGGGATGGTACTGTCATTTTTATTTTAGAAATAAATATCAGTCATCTACTGAACATAATTCTGAACTGAAAGCCAATTTATTTCTTTTAACATAGTTACAATACTCATCCTTCTGTCCTTTATTAATAGAATATAAATAGGCTTGTGAAAATCATCACATGGTTTAACCTAAGTAATGCCAATGCTTCACAAACCAAAAATTCAACGTCCTAATACTACTATCGTCTTTCGTTCCAAGTTAAATAATTTCTCGTTTTTGTTACGCTACGAGTTTACCCTTGTGGGCCTCAGTCTCGATAAGGTGGGAACCACCATTTTAGCTTCTCTCGAATTAATTTATTAATTTAGTACTAAATGTAGAACTAAAAATAATTTTTTCCGTTTGCAACTATACCAATTTTTAGTAGTAAATTAAGTATAGGCGCACGCGCACTGACATTATTACGTGAAATTAGTACAGAAATGAAATCTTCAGTGTAAAATATACAAGTGAAGTAAAAGGTGTTTTTATTATGAATTTGACACTAGTTGACTTGACAGCAACCAAATACAGCAAAGCTACTAAAAATCACGAAAAAAACAAACCTACAAAATCCAAACACAAAGTGAAATGTATCCAAGGCGATAATGCAAAGTTGTCGCTAACCTAAGTTTTTGGAATTTTAGATCTTTTAATAATCTCCAAAATAATATGTGCCATAAATATTTTCTAAAAATGGACATTTTTAAATTTACGTATTATTTTTAGCATAACTTTTTTTTTCTGAATTTATAGATTATTTATAAATTAAATTACATATTCTATAGCTTCTGGAGCAATATCAGTGAAACAACTTGAATTTTCTGATCCAGTATGTGCAAGTTTTAATTATAAATCTCTTTCACTACATTCAGTAGGAAGTAAATTTTCCCTAAAAAGAATTATAAAATATTTACAATATAATCATTCTATAAGTATCAATAATTTAATTGCTAATTTTCAGAAGATACAAGAAACTCTTTGGATTAGTTTATATTTTCATCAAATATTTTCTTTCCAGGACGCACTAATATTTATTTTACTTTCAAGGAGGATACAATATATCATTATTTTTTAAATTAAATCTCTTAAGAGTATACAGGACGCATACGCATTTACCAAAAATTTTGCTTACTTCTCATGTCGTTAATCGAGACTGCTACAAAGATAAAATATAAAAATTCGGCAAATTATGGGATTAAAAGATTTTTTTGTTCCAATATTTTTTGTCTCAATGTAGCAGTTTTCTATGCACAAATACCTAAATAATTATTAAACAAAGTTTTTTTTTAAATTATCAACCAATTTTAAATGAGAAGGAATTACCCCTGGAAAAAGCGCTGCGTAACGACAGCCGGTCTTTCTACTCATACTCGCAGTGTAAATTAGCAACATAGGTTATTGCAGACGCTTGAAGACCTGAAGGGCATTGCGTAACTCCGGAAAGAAGGATGAGCT